TGTATTCCTGTGGCGCTAAATATAATTGTTGAAAAATGATTTTGTACCAGGAAAACAACAAAAAATATATGTGCATGCGTTTCCAAGATATTAATAGAATAATTATTGAAAGTATGGCATAAGAAAATGTTTGTATTTTTGTGACCCTAATACAATTATTGAAAAATTGTTTTGTTTTGTATCAGGAAAACACAATATGGCGTCAATATAATTCCCGAAAAATGGTTTTATATCAAAACAAGATTAAAATACGTTCTTCCATTTCTAAGATGGCAATGGCATAATATTGAACGTGAAATTTGGATAAGAGAAAATAAAGAACATCCCCGTATGCCTGTGATCCTAAGACAAATCCTACCAGTCAGTAGTTTTGGTGCAATCCCAAATGAGCAGTTTACCTTTCTTCCAAGGAATCAAGATCCTCATCAAGATGGTTAAAAGTTTAGAATGCAGCCCACAATTAATTTGCTGGTTGCTCAAGAAGGCGGGGAAGGCTACATGGGCATTTTTTCTTATGCCGAGCCTACCGTTGCGGATTGGGAGAAAAGAGATCGTGAATTGTAATTCTGTAAAGCTACAGTTCATGAAAATCTTGATCTATGATTGAGAACAAGTTCATTGTGGTTCCATAGAGGAGTAGATAAGTCAATTTTGGGACGAGTAAGCAGTTCTTTAGGAGGTGGTAAGCCACGTGACAGTTCACATCTTTCAATCTGTTGATGAGAAGTTGGATAGCAGCCTGCCTCTTAAGCAGGATAGCTTCATCAGGTCTGCCAGCACACTCTCCGGTGGACCTGCTATGGTTTCGTCATTCAGGTACCGGAGATTGAGATCCAAAATCAGGTCCTGGATCATTGGGTGGATGATAAGAGGTCCGCATGGATCACCTCGCTAAGCTCCGACTTGAGAAGGTATGATCTCCGTTCCGAAGAAAGGGGAAGAAGGGGTTGCATAACGTTGGTACAGGAAGCAGATGGAGCTTACAATTTCAAGAGGTTCTGTGATCCTGCGACCACAATTTCTGGAAAATACATTTGTATGAAGAAAACATCATACTTGAGATAGTGAGCACTTCCTTGTATTTTTGAGACCCTAATACATTTCTAGAAAAATATCATTTTTAATGGTCACTCTTCACCTCCAATTCTGTGATCCTGATACTACCACCGATCCCAATACAACCATCGTTGACGTAATGTCATAATAAGATATAACCAATCAACATTAGACTTTCCAGTGCTTCTGTGGTCTTAGTTAAATTTGTATCAGAACAACATAAAACGTGACAGTCAATAATTTTAAGCCTCCTGGTACCTCAATTGATCTTGATACTACTAAGGGTATAAATGCAAACGTAATAAATAACGAAGAAAATACCTTACGTTTCTATGATCTTGCTTTGTACAGTGTGTAAATTGAACTAGGCTCTCCCCAGTAACCTTGGCAGATTTGGCGATATGGTCATAAAATTTGTATATGAGTAAAAATACCTTTGAATACTCTAAACAGTATTTTCCTATCACTTTCGACCTAACAGGAAGTTAGTGACCAAACAGTTGTAAATGGGACACTCCTTATATTATTACATTTTTGGATCCTACAGACAATGTTATACTTGGTACGTTGTTCTCGATAATGTAGGTATACGAGGTTGATCAGAAAAATAATTAATAATTAATCATTTTTGCTAATATAATAGAACTAGTTTACTCTTTTATTCAACCGCAGATCACCAGTCATTTGAAATACATGTACAACGGGCTTCTGAATAAAAATAAAGTAACTTTGATAATTTCGTAATTTCGTTTAAAATCGGACAAAATTAGGCCAAATCGATTTTTGAATCAATGAGGAACGATTCTGATCCATTCATAGCCAACTACTGCAAAAAATAAAATTAAAAAATTTTTTCCACCAACCTCGTATAAATTACTGAAAACAATATATCAGGTCTGTAATATCTCCAAATGTCAAAATATGTATATTTTTTAAGGGTGGGCAATCTCCAAAAAATATACATATACAGGGTGGTGACTTGCGTCACGCATCATAGGGATTTCAATGTAAAATTTATAACATGCGATTATCGGCTCCCCAAATTATCTTAGAGCAAAAATGTATTAAGGTTTTTTGTAGAAAAAAATTTTTTACGTCAATTATTAGTTTTCAATTTTTTATATAATAAAGACGGAAAATTGGAAAAATAAAACCCGCATCTTTTTCAATAATCTGCGATGCCATGGAATTTTCTAAAACAAAAAGATATCCAGTTATCAATTAGCAGCAGTTTGAAATGGATTTTATGATCGACTTGGTTACTGTCTTGCAGTTAATGGTGACTTATTCGAACATTTATTGTAAATTGTTATATTAGGAAACCGTTTTTAGTAATTTGGTCTTTCTTTATGTTGAATTCGCTGTTCTAAATACAATACTTTTTGATAGAATTTGATTTGTTTTATAGCAGACATTCCATGGCATGACGGATATTGGCGTAGTTTTTGTATTATAAAATTCCATGGCATCACAGATTATTGAAAAAGAGGCGGGTTTTATTTTTCCAACTTTCCGTCTTTATTATGTAAAAAATTGAAAACTAATACGGTTGATTGACGTAAAAAATTTTTTCCTACAAAAAACCTTAATACACTTTTGCTCTAAAATAATTTGAGGAGCCAATAATGGCATGTTATAAATTTTACATTGAAATCCCTATGATGCGTGACGCAAGTCACCACCCTGTATATACATATATAATTGAATTCACTTCCGGTTTATGCCTATATGTATATTTTTTAAGGGTGGGCAATCTCCAAAAAATATACATATAGGCATAAACCGGAAGTGAATTCAATTCGTTTCGAAAAATTCCCCTTATGTGATGGTTTTGTCCGTCCGTCTGTTCCCCTTTGTACTCTTCTGTCATGGTCGTCATTGAGTCTTGCACCGAAACAAGAGAATATCAAGTACCCGATTGCCCTATTTAGGCATAAACCGGAAGTGAATTCAATTCGTTTTTAAGGGAATTTTTCGAAAGAAAAAATCCCCTTATGCGATGGTTTTGTCCGTCTGTCTGTTCCCCGTCTAACTCGAGAACGAAAAGAGACAAAGATGTCATACCTTCGCCAATCGATTTCTACGAGTTCAAGGATCATAGCTATTGAATATGAGCCGGATCAAAAGTCTGGTTTCCCAATACGAGCCGAGTGGCAAAAAAATTCCCCTACTGAAAATCGTATGCGATTCTTCGTATCTTCTTACTCTTAATATCGCCCATGAAAATGTTATATTCATACCGGCAATTTTGCTAAAGGAGCGAGTCCAATTTGGTACACATGGTAAAGCTAGTGAAAGTTTCATGAATTTTCGAGTGAGGCTTATATTATATTTTTCAAAGTAAAACACATCTAGTTTTGTGCTCATCCATGTGGGGAATGAGATCTCACCAGTATAATTATCACATGCTAGGTATAACATGAACAAAATCGTCATGTATGCACCTGTTTCATTGAGAAAGCCTCCAAATACACTACTTGATCCTCGAAACCTAATTTTCGTACTCTGCTGTCATGGTCGTCATTGAGTCTTGCGCTGAAATAAGGAATATCAAGTGCCCAACAGTGACTCAAGAGCTTCAAAATGCATATCTGGAGGAATGAAGCGAACAGGTGTTCATACCACAAGATTGCGGACTCCTAAACATGAGGGATCTCCACCACATTTGGTATTTGTGGATCTCTGGAGTAACGCAGGTGTTCCAACACCCATCAACTTGCTTTGTTTGGGTGACCAAACAAAACAGAAACCTCTCTCAAAAAAATTCACGGTGGCCATTGCCCAAAACACACGATTAGTAATCGTCGCTTTATTTGTGTACCATTATGAATCCGTGAATCACCGAATCCTACATTATGTTATTTTTTTTTCTTGCGTACGTATCTTAGCGCACGTTTATTTATACATAAAATTCAAAAATAAATGGGAAAACCTGTGAATGACAGTTATTAGTAATGCACGCTCATACAATAGTGCAACTTTTTGGCTCAAATAAATCGTCTCTTTTACACGTAAAATTACTTAATCATTTGAATAAATGCGTGTGAGATTGTACCATTAGAATAGATCGTGTCATGGGAACCCATTCTAGTCCCAACAAAATCGCAAAAGTTCACAATTATGCCGAAGCATTTCGACTCGTTTATTTTTGAGGTGCGCTCCGAAAATCTTAGGGAATTTTATAGTCAAAGCCATATAAACAAAGCGGCTTTTGGGGTCGATTATAAATTGATAGGTTATACCAAAAGCCGACTAAAAGCAGACGATTTTCGGATACATTTAACAATGTTAATGTTTACTAAACAGAGCCGTTTATTTTAAAACCCACGAAATTACAGCACTTTCCTCTAATGTAATCTTTAGAGATTGAATAAACAAACTTTTATTATTTATATGTAGTTACTTTCGCAATTAATTTCTATACTTATTCTGCTTCCAATACCTCTATGCGTAGGTGTCGGAAGATTCAAGTACAAGTAGATCGACCCTTCTATCTAGGAAAGGAACTGGGATCAGTTTTTAACATAATCAAACAGTTCTGCAGACTGCACCACAGAATTATTTTACATTGTTTATTGTTCCATAGTTGCCATCGCCATAACTTTCTTGTTGCATCACGATCACATAAAGGCAAATAGAGTTTAAATTTATTACCCCAACACCATTTCAGGTACAATGTTGCGAAGGTAATTTTGCAAATAAAGTAGTACCAGCATTACAGAATGACGAGCATTTCCTTTTAATGCAAATTTCATTTTAAAAACAGTAGGTAACACAAGATTCTTGCGTTTATGTTATCCTGATAAATCTCTGGTTGTATCAGGATCACAAATCAGCTACTGTTGTGTGTACAAATGAAGCTTAAATAGGTATTTTTTGGATTGTATGAATGTAATTGCGTACTATGCTTTTCTATATGAGCGACTTTGAAAGAATATCAACACTAATGGTTAACGTGTTTATTGCTTAAAAATACAAATATAGTATTTGATTCTAATTGTTAGTTTGATGATCGATACGACACATGCACTAGAAATTGGAATAATTACGAAAAGAACATGAGTGAAATGACTTACCTGTTAATGTTCGAAGTAGGTTCAATAAACAAACGAAGACGATGATGGCTGGCGTTGGTGGCTTTTTTGTGGTAGCGATAACGAAGATTGTTGGTTGATTTAACGACAAGGGAGATAATTCAGCTTTGGCAGCGTTGTACAAATCAGTTCTACGAAAATGGCATTCTGCGTTTTAACAGACACGCTCATTATTGATGGTTGTGCGACGACATCTTGTATTCTTCGAAGTTTGTCCTTGATCTCCTCTGAAAACGTGCTCTGGTTTGATTGAACTCTAAAGCCGAGCCAGCATGTGCCAACACTTCGTGGGAAGAGTGCATCTCGAAGTGGTCCGTGAAGATCCGTTATGGCGCGACCGATCCGTCGAAAGTCAGTCACCTCAAATCAGCGATGAAAATAAACACAACAAAAATGTATCGTGATCACTCAAATTAAATATAACATTTCCGATCAATAAAGCACAATAACCAAAATTGTTTCATGCAAATAAGTTATACGGGTCGATTCCTTTAGGAATATTAAAATTACTTCGAAAAAAATTACTTATGCAAATTCCTGCTTTATACAAATCAAAAACTACTTACAGTTATTTACGTGGGTAATATTCTCTGATCTCTCCTTGGAAAATGCCGCTTCCATTAGAAAAATGTAAATAGAGATCACTACTTTCTACACTGCCCCGGTAACGTTCTCTGAATGGCTGAATGCCAAATTTGACAGTTCGTATGAATCGCGAATCCCAGCAAACCGACTACAAATTCTCGAAACTAAAACTCGAGATCGCACAGAAATAAAATGCCAATGTTCCGCTGTGTTGAGATTAATTTAAATTCTCTGCTTTCACGCACCTAACCTCTCGCGAAATTAGCTACGAAATAATCGCAATTTTGCGAAAATAAAAGCTAACCCTTTGAAAGTCTAATCACATCTGCCGAAAACCCCCTTACAATTTCGAAAATGCAAACGTTGTTATCGCTTTTATTTCCATACTTCCGTGCACGTTCGCTATTAAGCGGTATATGTGTAAATTTTCCTATATTCATCAAAATATAATTTCAAAACTCAATTTTTGAAACGAAAAAGCGGCCACCCGTTACAAGTGATTGAATGGATCCCAATTTAGGTAGCACTAGAAACCAACCCCAATCTTCAAAAAAAAAACGATGGAACATAAGCCCTTTTCGAGTGCACGGGTTAAATTAATTTACATACACCTCCAGAGCTAATTTAACCCTCAAGGACAGGCATTCAATGACTAGCAATGACTAGAGACCCACTGCAATCTTTGAAAAGCAACCCTATTAGATTGCAGGTTTTTAATTTAATTTACTTACACCGCAAGGGATAATTTAGCCCTCTAAATGAATACGAATTTTTTAGGTAGCACTAGAGACCGACTCCATCTTGCAATGAACCCTTTTCGAGTGCAGGTGTGGAATTAATTTACTTACACTTCGAAAGCTAATTGAATCCTCAATGACAAGCGCTAAATGAATACCAATTTTTTAGGTAGCCATCACCTCCCGGTACCCACCTTGTACCTATGTGGGGGGGGTTGATCCTGTGAATGATCGTTTTCCCATTAATTATACGGATAAGATTTGGTGCAGTCGATTTTTGGTAAAAAAAGGAAGGTTGTACACTGCCTTTTTTTGAGCCCCGATAAAAAAATTGTCTCAGATCGGCCGGGAGAAAAGATTTTCTTATAGAATGTGGCCTGTACAATCCATAATTTCAAACAGTTCCTAGATTGGGCTACTAGTTCAAAAGTTACAGCCCTTTGAATTTTCTTTCGAAATTGGTTTCTAGTCTATAACTTTTGAATGAGAAGTCTAATCGAAAAAGTACGAATTGTCTTGGATTCTACGCCCCAAGACTAAAATCTAAATTCATATGTCCGCACTGGCAATAAGTCGCATAAGGGCACACTTTTTTATAGTATTCCCATTGCCCTGGTCGAAAATTGAAGTCACATTCCAATGGATTAATTTCTAACAATTTGAACAGGAAAATTTACCATGAGAACTCTTATCTAGGTCGTAACTTGGGCTCTATTAAACACACAATACATCATTTACAGATAAAACAAAGTTTACTCGACCAAGGCAATAAATCAAGCTGAAAGAAAAGTAGGCACTCGGGCTCAAAGTACCAATAGCAGACAACAAGCGATCGATTGAAACAATTAATTAAAGATATCTTAATTACATTGAAGTGTTAGTAATACAAAATATCGGGTCGCAACTGCTATTTTCATTAAATAACTCACAAAGACAAAAACCAACACTTACATTTCGATTTAGACGACATTCATTGTAATTTCAGATGTCATATTGGGCGTTTATGGTGGGAAAACTGCCTTTTACTAATATTTGAAGATCTTAAGGAAAAGTATCGCATAAACGATAACTGGTCGATAAACACAACACTCTGACTCACCCCTTCGTAAACGTCACTTCTTTAATTGGACTTAAATTTACACTTTAAACGGAGCACAGCGGTCTGAAATGTCCAAAAAGTTGGTGAAAACTAAAAAAAAGATATTATCGGACAAGAATTAATTGGTCTGGCGATAAACAATGCCACGTGCGAGATAAGCAACACAGGTGGTTATCAGTTCGGGTGACGTTGATGGAATTTCGAGAATCGTCGGGAATATATTAGTGGAAGTGGGTTTTCTTTTAAATAGCTGGAATTAATTGTAAACGAGGCTCTACCGATTTATTTTGAAAGAGCGTAAAGTCTGTGAGCTGTGTACCAGTAGTTTAGCTGGCTATGTATTTTTTTAAAGAAGAAAAACTTAGTAATAAAGTAATGTGGCAACAAGGCAGCACAGACACAAACAAGAGGGGTGAATTGCTAATTGAGTATATCAATCCAACCCTTGATTCAATCTAACTAATAGCGAACACGAACAGGAAGGACCAAAATTTTTCAGGAAAGGACAAATACGAGAAATCGATCCCCGTTACTTCGACGACGTGGGGTTCGAACCCTTTAGAGCTCCTGGTGGAGACGGTATATTTCCAGCACTCTTCCAAAGGGTTGTTGGGCACATACTGTAAATTATATTTAAGCTCTACACAGCCAGCTTCTGTTTAGCTTGCATACCCAGAGGTGGCAGGCGGTAAATGTGGTGTTCATACCAATTACCAAAAGGGTCAGCCTTAGTTTGTTCTTGTTGAAGGGGATGGAACCAGTTCCTGAAAAGCGGGGTTCTAACAAAATATCCGATTCACCCCCAAAACAACACGCCTATAAAAAAAAATCGACAATCACGGCCCTACAAATTTACCTATCTACCTACCCTCACACACATCAAATAATACAATAGCCACCACCTCTCTCAATAAACTTTAGCAACCCACAATGACCTACAGTCAACAGGTGAACAAGTTGCCTGGGCCTGGACATAACCCTTCCAAAATTTTCGGCCTGCATATAATTTACCTACAAACGGCATTGCCCTCCGAAAAATCTATTGTTAGAAATAGGCTAAGCGATGCGTTTATATATTTTGTTAATTCGCGCCTTCGTTTATGGCGTCACAACAAACGCTTTATATTTTTAGAAATTTAAAATCGTTGAATATGCAAAATAGTTTTGTGCGTTTACGAAGAATTTAGGAATTTCGAGCCCCACCAGAATTAGAATATTTCTGTCAAAGATGGACGAAAATAAATTTGTAAAATTCGTTGTTCCCGCGACGCCCAGGTTATATAAATAAAAGGCTCCCATAGAAAATATTTCGAGTACAATGTACCTATTTGCTTTCGTATTTTCGTTAGGTACACAATTTGAGATGTTTATCTTGCGATTAGATACTTCACTTTGACTGATAACACCACACCATCCTGTTATCGCTATTTGTTTTCGGTGGTGAATTTGGTAGGTTTCCACTTCAGAAGACCATCATCGCCTCCTAGACCGGGAGATAAAGCTGTGGTTGAAAAATAATCCGTTTAGGATGCGGAATCGGCGGTTGTAAACAGAAAAAAAAAACAGGAAACTTATTTTCGGATTTTAATAAGGATATAAATTAACTCAAAAAAAGTCTCCTTATACCCACGCGAAACGACTCGCTCACCGCTCTTTTGTGCGTCTTGCCAGAATTTCCGCATTTTGAGAATAAAGACCTTTTTCCACCTGAATACGGGAGACTATTTTTAATGCGAAAAAATGGGCGGGTCGTATCAATAGACCGTAAAACAAACACTTATGTAATTAATATAGTGGAACGCGGAACGCCGCCTCCTATACCAGAAATTCCGTTTTTTTTTAATAAACATTTTTAACTAAACTAGCTGCTATTAGTGCACTATTATGTCGTTAACACTTAATTATGGCGTTGGCATACTTTTACTTTAATTACAATCTCATTACTGTCTGAAACGTCCAGCACCTTCCGATCAGATAACTTTTATTTAACGCGAAGGGGGGTCTCGCAGGGCTTTAGACCTGGACCTCAATTCTTTCGGGTGATGTGTTTATATGTAGTCACGTTACTTGGTACGACACTGTACGCTATCATACGTAATAATTTCCTACATTATTACCTATACGATATAAAATCTGTTTCAGTGGTTCATGGTCATGATATTTTATATTTGCTCAATTATAATTGCACAACGTGTTCTCGTTTGATTAATTGAACTATTATTGCAACTTGAGAATGGAAAGGGTTTTACATGATTGACGTATAAGAACAGTTTCACTTCCGCAAACAAACTTTGGAGGTGGCAAAATTTGAAAACTTGGATTGTGAACCCGAAAACGACGATGCTCCGTCCACCATTTCAGATTTCAATTAGATTCACTATTTCCTCACACATAGAGGTCACATTTTAAAACGACGTTCTTGGATATTTAAAAGGTTTGGAAATACTTACTTTTCTTTTAACTAGATATCACTTGTTTCACTTTCTTGACGTACGTTCTCTTCTCATATGCTTCTCCAATTTCCCCCCAAGCCCTTAAAAATTCTTCTCAAGTTCCGTTCTAGTTCTTCTGAAGATTTCCCCAAATTCTCTTCACATTTCGCTCAATCTTCTTAGCTCTGAAATTCGATTCATGTTCCCATCAATCAATTTCTTCTCTTAGCCTCAGTTCATCTAAAGTTTGTTTCAAAAACTCTCTTCAATGTGCATCGCTCCTTCACATGGTACCCATCAGGGTTGAGTGATTTTTATAAAAATAAATCAAATATAAGACCAAACAATTTGTGCATCAATCAATTTTACACATTCTTGATACCAGAATATTTTTAGAGAAATTTGTATCAGAAGAAGCCTAACCATAAATTGTACCTCTTATGGCGTGCTTGAAAAGGTATCAGGAGAACATATGTCAGAATCAATCAATGTTTACACCTTGATACAAAAATTGTTTGAAGGGAGATTTGTATCAGGAGAACAAAATACATGAAAATGTGCCCATCAATTAATATCGCAGCATGCCATCCTGATACACGATTTTTTTTAATGAGAAATTTGTATCAAAAGAACATAAAACCTCTTCATAAATTTTACACGAGTTTCTGTAATCCTAATACAAGAATGTGTAAGTGAATTTGCACCAGGAGTTAAACGTATCAGCCTGTAACACAATACATGAAAAGGTGGCCATCAATACATTTTACAGCTTGCGTTTCTGTGGTCCTGATACAAGATTGTTGTAAGAGATATTTGTATCAAGATAATACACAAATCTGTTCATAAATTTTATGCCTCCTTCCATTTCTATAGCATCGAAATTTGTATCAAACGAATATAAAAAGTGTCTTCCAATAAATTTTGCCGTTCGTTGTCTGATTTGGAAATAGATCTGTATCAGGAGAACATAATACTGAAGACGTATCTATCAACAGCGTACGTCTCTGTGATCTCGTTGCGCGATTGTTCAAGAGACATTTGTACCAAGAGACCAAAAACGAAAGAATCGCTCTGTTCATAAATTTTACAAGAGGTTCTGTAACCCTGATACAAGAATGTGTAGTGAAATTTGTATCAGGGAATATAAAACGCGCCGGTCAATTTTCTGGCGTTGTTTGAAAACCCGTTTGTATCACAGGAACATTATTATAGTAAGGTAATCCTCATACAAGAAACGCTTGACGAGATGTTTGCATCAGGAGAACAGAATACGTGAAAAGGTGTCAGTGTCCATCAATGAATTAAAAAAAAAAATAAGGGCCTCTTTTGCCAATAAATACGCGAGGTGTTGTGGATATTTACACTTTGCCTTTCTGTAATCCTGATAAAAGAATGTATACAAGTGAAATTTGTATCAGGAGACCAAAAGAGAAAAAAGATATGCTCATCAATAACTATCCCAGCATATATGATTGTTTACACGAAATGTGTATCAAGATAACATAAAACGCAAGATTCTGTTCCTAAATTTTACACGAGTTTCTGTAATCCTAATACAAGAATGTGTAAGTGAATTTGCACCATTAGTAACACGTATCAGTCTGTAAGCCAATACCCCACTCCTGGCGTTATTTGAGAAGAGTTTTTTTAGTACGATAACAAAATACATGAAAAGGTAGCCATCAATAAATTTTACAGCGTGCGTTTCTATAATCCCCATACAAGAATCGTTTTAACTTTGAAGAGAGGTTTGTATCAGGAGTGAAGAGATCACTCTGTTCATAAATTTTACAAAAGTGTTTGTAACAGTGAAATTTGTATCA